TACCCTCCCTCACCGTTCTGATGAGACTCCGTCGGAGCCTCAAGCGAGTCAGCGGCGCTCTCAGCAGTTTAGGGTTTAGGATTTAGGGTTTAGGGCTCGGTCGGACATTCGTCAGTCAGTATCACCCATCATGAATTCTGCCTGCTCGTTGTTTCTAGCCATGCTACACGCGCATTTGCAGCAAGCTCGGCAGGGTTGGAACACAGGGGCGACTGAACCGTTCTGCTTTCGCAGAGGTTTACGGTTTAGAGAAGGGGGGGTTGCGGTTAATTAGGGCTTATAGAACTCCGATACAAGCCTTACTTAGGAGTACTAAAACCCTGACGGAACACCAAAAGAAGCCCCCCAAAAAAAAACGTTAAAACATATTCAACACCAGTAATATAGGTCTGAACAGCTAGTAGAAGGAACCCCACTCTGTTCTTACATCATTATACCCTCAACCCTAAACCCCGACCCCCATAAAACCCTGCCTCTTACTTTTCAGAGCTGTGCATTAGCGACTCCCACCTCCAAGGAGTCGCAAGGAGCGGCGCCCTGACGGGTTGAGGGCTTGCTCCCAATGGGTTTAGGGCTTCTTTAAAGACTTGGTACACTTCTCGATTTGTGGGTTTAGGGTTTAGGGTTTAGGGTTTCGCGTTTTGGTTTCAGTGTCTTTTGAGGTTGTTCTGATCATTTGAGTCCACGACTGAAGATGTTGGCCATAATGCATGGAATGGTCTGAAGCAAGCGGTGTTCATTCCCTCGCTCAGCAATTGGCTGAAGATAAAATAAAACCGATAAGCGGATGGACGGATAGATAGATGGAGGGATCGGTAAATAGGTAGATAACGGATACATACACAGACTGATTGATGGATTGATTGGTTCGTGGATGGACGGACGGACGGACGGATGGATGGATGGATGCATGGATGGATGGATGGATGGATGGATGGATGGATGGATGGATGGATGGATGGATGGATGGATGGATGGATGGATGGATGCATGGATGGGCAGGCAGGCAGGCAGGCAGGCAGGCAGGCAGGCAGGCAGGCAGGCAGGTCGGTGGGTAGGTAGGTAGGTAGGTAGGTAGGTAGGGTAAGGTAGGGTAGGGTAGGGTCGCGAGGCAAGGCAAAAGGTAAGGGAAAGGCAAGGGAGAGGTAAGGTAAAGGTGAGGTAAGGTTAAGGTTAAGGTAAGGCAAGGTTTGTGTTTATGTACGTGTGCATGCATGCATGTATGTGTGTATGTGTGTGTATATATATATATATACATACGTAGATATATATATATATATATCTACCTATCTGTCTTATGTACGTACACATGTGTCCATGTATCCATGAATCCATGCATCTATGCCCCTCCCTACCTACCTACCTACCTGCCTACCTGCCTACCTGCCTGCATACCTGCCTACCTGCCTACATGCCTACCTGCCTACCTGCCTACCCACTTATATGATCCCTCTATGGTGAGGTATATTCCTAAGTTTGATATCTTAAGGTCCATTCCTACATGAAGGGTTTGGGGGCTCTTGCCCCGCCTTCGCCAGCTCCATCGCTCTCTGATGGACCTGACGTCACTTCGGCTTGCGAAAAAGGCTCGGGGATCAGGATGGCAAAAGGGGTTTAGGGCTAAGGGTTTAGGGTTTAGGGTCTATGGAGGTTAAGCGGGGTTGCTACAGGGTTATGAGAGAAAGTTGAAAAATAGTTCTAGGTCAAAACTTGAGGATTCAAGAGTTTAAAGTTAAAGGCCGGGCTGAGTGTAGGGCCAAATTGAAGGTTAATTAAGGTTCAGGCATCAGGGGTTCAGGGTCTCCTGGGCTTGCGGCGTTCAGTATACCATTACTGTTGCTATTACTATGACTAAAACTATTACCGCTACCATTACTACTACTATTACTAGTTCCTAGTCCATTTTCCTATTCGTATTACTATTACCACTACTACTGCTACTACTATTATTACGATTATTATTCTTCTGTTGAACCCTAAACCCTAAAACCTAAACCGACTACTATGATGGTTACTATTACTACTACTATTATGAAACCCTAGACCATAAACCCTAAACCCTAAACTATTATGGGTACTATTAATACTATTATTATTTTTAACCGTAAACCCCAAACCAATTATTTTGATGGTTACTGTTCCTACAATTACTACTATTATTAAACCCTAAACCCTTAACCCTAAATCCATTGTTATCATTATTGTTATTATTATTATTATTATGATTACTGTTTCTCTTATTATTGCTATGATGGCTAAACCCTAAACCCTAAACCCTAAACCCTAAACCCTAAACCCTAAACCGCTACTGTTACTACTTTTCAGGTCAGGGCTCTGGGGGTTCCCGGACCCTGCCTCGCGCCCAAACTGCTTTTTCAGCTTGGTGACGCGCTCCATCAGCAGCATCTGCGGGGTTCAGGCTTTTAGGGTTTTAGGCTTTCAGGGTTGAGGGCTTTAGGGTTTAGGCATTTAGGGTTTAGGGCTCTAGGGTTCAGGGCTTTAGGGTTTAGGGTTGTAGGGTTTAGGGTTTTAGGGTTTAGGGTTGTAGGGTTTAGGGTTTTAGGGTCGTAGGGTTTAGGGTTTAGGGCCTAGGGTTGCGAAGGGTCAGGTCTAAGATCCGGTTTGCAGAAGTCACACAGGGGGCGAAATAGGGTTTAGGGATGTTTAGGGCTTAGGGTTCCTTTAGATGTATATCTTGTAAAGCTTGTAGCGACTCTAAGAAAAATCTCTAAATATCAAGACCCTGGTGACGTCTGGCCCCGGGCGTGCGGGCATCCAGGGACCTACATGCCCAAGGGTGCGGGGTGGGTTTTAAAGGAACGACATGGCAAATTCTAAGCGCAAAGCCTAGCTTCGTTGACACTCCCATATAAGGAAAAGAACCAAACAATTGCAACAAAAACACGCAAGCTGACAAAATAATAACTGAGTTAAGCTTTCCGTCCTGAACCATATAACCCCGTTAACCCTAGAGCCTCAATAATTGCCACTTATAGCCCTCCATACATACACACATCCACACACCCACACATACACACATGCATACAAACATACAAACATACAAAGATACATACATACATACATACAT